ATACTGAGAACTCCAGAGAGCAGCTTGCAACACAGACAGCTCAGATTGCGCAAACCAAGGATCTCGCTCTCAAAAAAAAAGCACGCAGCAAATCTCTGACGTCAGTGGGGGCGGCGGGGGGAGGGGAAGAGGGGGGTGGTGGATGGGGATAAAGAGAGGTAGTTTCAGGGAGGTTTGGAAAAAAAGCAATTATTAAAACAATTTTTAATGAAATAAAGAGAGGAAGATTGAAGTAGAGGTACAGATCAGCCATGATCTTGTAGAATGGCGGCTCGGGCTGAAAGAATGGCCTTCTCCTGTTGCAGGTAACTGTGGTCAAGTGTAGTGACTGTGTATTTGTAGATAAATAGCGACAGCCAACTCGCCCTGAAGTAAATGGGCAAGTTATGTGTTGGATTCTTGGCCAGGAGAAACTCTTTTTTTAAAATATTGTCTTGGATCTCTACCATCAACAGAGCAGTGCGAGAGTGAGTCAACAACAATAACAACAACAACAACTGAGTCACAAGATCATCAAAGAATAAAAGACTAGAAAACTATCAGGTTCCGGTTCCGAGCCCTTGTACCTCATACGCAGAGGGCCCTGAGATTGGGGTACTAAGTGTGGGTTACACTCCCATTACTCGGATTTCTACAGGACATTGGTTAGGGCACTCGCCTCGCAAGCGAGAGGACCTGGGTTTGATTCCCGGATGAGCAAAACTTTAGGCAAGTTTCCTCACTCCACGCGCCTCTGTTTACCGAGCAGTGAAGTAGGAACCCAGTTGTTAATCGATCGGCGGATCGCTTCAAAAAAACAATGTAGTCACTCAATCCACGACTGTTTGTGGGACTCTGCTGTGTGTAATTGGAGGCCGCGTTTTGCCCGTAAAATTTTCAGTCAATTCACTTTACGACGTCTCTTTAAGATGTCTCGAAGCGTCTCGAGGACATGATAAGATGCTATATCAAATGCAAGGATTATTATTATTTTTATTTATAACCTCCCCGGACTCTCCCTCAGACTCTCCAAACCCGTGCGTAATTTAGGCAGCAGGTTCGATCCCTCGCTTTCCTTTCTCCCCCACATCCATTTCCTGAGCAAGGAACCCTTTTTTCCACCTCCGTCACATTGTCCGCCTCCGGCTGTACCTCACAATCGACGCAGCTGAAACCCTCGTCCAGACCTTCGTCACTTCCCGGCTGGACTGTTCCAATGCCCTCCTCGCTGGTCTCTCCAGCTCCACCAGACACAAACTACAATTAATTCAAAACTACGCCGCCCGGATATTCACCCACACGAAACTCCGTCCCCCCATCACACCAGCCCATGCCAGGCTCCACTGGGCTCCCAATCACCAAACGGATCAATTTCAAGATCCTCTCACTTGTTCTCAAACCCCTTCGTGCCCTCGCACCTCCCTACCTCTCCGATCTGCCTACCCACCACTCCACCACCCGCTTCCTCTGCTCGGCCGGCTCCAGCTTACTGTTTGTCCCTCGCCCCCTCTGCTCCACCATCGGTGGCCGTGCCTTCAGCCTCTACCCCCCGAAACTCTGGAATTCTCTCCCTCAACCTCTCTGCCTTGCCTGCTCCCTCACCACTTTCAAATCCCGCCTAAAAACCTTCCTTTTTGATGGTGTTTACGGTCACCTCCCCCCCCTCTACCCTCTCTCCCTCTGGCTTGTTGTCAGACTCCACCACTGTCAAGTGCTTCGGGACACTACCCCACGTCAAGGGTGCTGTATAAATGCAAGTTGTTGTTGTATATTCTGTGAAGAGCTTTGAGATGTTTCATTGACGTGATAACAACAACAACTTGCAGGGTAAAATCTCAGAGCGCTTAACACTGACACCGAGCCAGGGGGGGGGGGTGGGGTGTGTGGTGGGGGAAGGTAACCGTAAGTCAGCCGGGACTTAATAAGGCGCTATATCATATGTAACAATGATTAATATTATTATTACACATTTTAATTTTCATTCGATTCTCAGTCTAAATACCATCAATGTACAATTAAACTTGGGTCATGTAGACAGGCAATGTCAGGCCGAAATCTTTCATGTTGATGGCACAATGTAGGAAAGTCATTCCGTCTTCTAACTCGTGTTGTAGCTGACAGCTGTCTCTCTCTCTCTCTCTCTCTCTCTGCTTCTCTCTTTTATCTCTCTCTCTCTCTCTGCACTAAGGCCAGGAAGCAGAGAAGGCTCAAAAACACAGGTGTTTACTCCAGTTGTTTAAATATTTGCAGCCCGAACAAACAGCGAATGACACACTGGTCAGTGGTGCAGTGGGGGCAGCTCGAAGTTGACTCAGCAGCTATGGCTCTCAGATCAAAGAGGGCAAATTCTTAGCAACCCCCAGGACAAATATACAGTGAGACACCATGCGGTTACCACATGTTCACACCGAGATCCATCCGGTCGCACCAACAATCACTGCTTTCCTCTTGGTGGGATGAGCATATTTAGCCTTTATTGTGGCGGGGGCGGGGGGCGGGGGGCCGGGAGGGGGGTGGGCGGGGAGGGGGGGAATGACGACATCGATAGATTACAGTCCTTGTCCTACCCACTTATCTTAAACCCAACCCAGAGCCTCCTGAAGTGGAGGGCGCCATACAAACGTAATTTGTTATTGTTTATATCGGCATCACGTGCCATCACTCACGCGCCCCACGGGCCACACTCACCCAATCACTCACACTGACTCAGTGTCGCTGGTTTGTCAGTGAGTGATTGCACGTGTTAGGCCTGTTCCGTCCTGGACGACAATCCCCCAGATAACATTTTTCATTCACTCCACGGTTCCAACCGGGTTTCGGCCCTGATCAGTCACTCATGACATTCTGTGACTAGGGCTCTCTCTGCCTCCTTCTCCTCCTTGACCTCTCTGCTGCGTTCGACACTGTCGATTTTATCCTCTTCCACCGCCATCTCCTCTCAGCTCAACCTTCAGGGACCTGCTCTTGCCTGGTTCCAATCCTGCCTCTCCCACCATCTCCATTTTGTCTCCACTAACGGCTTCTCCTTCAGCCCCGCACAGTCTCATGCAGCGTTCCTCAGGGCTCTGTCCTGGGTCCCCTCCTCTTCAATATCTATATGCTCCCTCTTGGTGACATCATCCGTAGACAAGGGGTCAACTTCCACATGTATGCGTATGACACTCAACTCTACCTCTCCGCCTCCACCCTTAACTCAGGACCACTGCTGCCCTCACAAGACTACCTGCCAACATCAAATCCTGAATGAGAGCAAATTCATCCAGTTGAATGTCATCAAGACCGAGGACCTCGTGCTTGGCTCCCATCAGGCGCTGACAGCATCACCCTTCATGGATGCACTCTACACCTCATGGAGCTAATATGGAATCTTGGGGTCCTGTTCGACCATCAACCGTTCTTCATCCCCCACATCCATACCACGACCCACTCCGCCTTTCCTCACCTCCGCAATATTGCCTGCCACCGCCACTGTCTCTCACCGCAGGCCGCCGAGACCCTCAGCCACGCATTCATAACATCCAGGCTCGACTACGCAAACTCCTTCCTTGTCGGCCTCCCCAACTCCTCCCTCCACAGGCTGCAGATCATCCAGAACTCTGCCCATGTCCTGTCCTGCACCGGGCACCATGAACCTGCCCCTTGGCTGGTTCCAACCCTACCTCTCCCATCTACACCTCCATGCGCGACCAGCTCCAAGGGCGTCCCATCACACAGAGGATACAGTTCAAGATCCTAGTTCTCACTTTCAAAGCCCACCATGGCCTTGGTCCCCCCCACCTCCGTGACCTCCTAACCCCCTGCCATCCTCCGCTCAGTGGGCTCCAGCCTGGTTCACATCCCTCACCTCGCCAGGCCCAACATTCCTCCTCTCTGCCCCCACTCTCTGGAACTCCATCCCACAGCCCCTCCGCCTCGTCCCCTCCCTTGCCTCAAGACCTGTCCCTCTCCTCTTCGACCGGGGATCCTCCTATCCTTCCTGCCCTCCATCCTCCACAGTCACTACACTTTACTACACTACACTACATATTCTCTGAAGCGCTTTGAGACGTCTCAAAGTTGTAATAATGTGCTATGTCAAATGTAAGGATTATTACATGTGTGTGTGGGTGAGGGGTGATGTCTGTTTGTGTGTGAGGGAGGTCCGTGTGTCTGTGGGCCATGTGTGTGTGGGGGGAGCTCTGTGTTGGGGGAGCTCTGTGTGGGGGGGGCTCTGTGTGTGGGGGGGAGCTCTGTGTGTGGGGGGCTGTGTGTGGGGGGGGGGGGCTCTGTGGGGGGAGCAGCTCTGTATGTGTGTGTGGGGGAGCTGTGTGTGTGGGGGGAGCTCTGTGTGTGGGGGGGGGGCTCTGTGTGTGCTCTGTGTGTGGGGGGGGGCTCTGTGTGTGGGGGGGCTCTGTGTGTGTGGGGGGGCTCTGTGGGGGGGAGCTCTGTGTGTGTGTGGGGGGGCTCTGTGGGGGGGCTCTGTGTGTGTGTGGGGGGGCTCTGGGGGGAGCTCTGTGTGGGGCAGGGGGGGCTCTGTGTGTGTGTGGGGGGGGCTCTGTGTGGGGGGAGCTCTGTATAGGGGGGGCTCTGTGTGGGGGGGCTCTGTGTGGGGGGGCTCTGTGTGTGTGGGGCGGGGGAGCTCTGTGTGTGTGTGTGGGGGGGCTCTGTGTGGGGGGAGGCTCTGTGTGGGGGGGGCTCTGTATGTGTGGGGGGGGCTCTGTGTGGGGGGGCTCTGTGGGGGGGGCTCTGTGTGGTGGGGGGGGCTCTGTGTGGGGGGGCTCTGTGTGGGGGGGCTCTGTGTGGGGTGGGGCTCTGTGGGGGGGCTCTGTGTGTGTGTGGGGAAGGGGGCTCTGTGGGGGGAGCTCTGTGTGTGTGTGGGGGGGGCTCTGTGTGGGTCTGTGTGGGGGGGGCTCTGTGTGGGGGGGTCTGTGCTCGTGTGTGTGTGGGGGGGGGCTCTGTGTGTGGGGGGGGGGGGGGGGGCTCTGTGTGTGTGTGTGGGGGGCTCTGTGTGGGGGG